TTTTTTGTCTTTTTGTTCGGATTTCAGACACGTTTTTTGTGGTTCATCTGAAGGCGTCGACATGTCATTTAGACAAGCTTTTTATACAGTTTGTCTGAAACTGCAGACAAAGGGTCTTTTCTCGTCTGAAAACGACAAATTCCCCCACCTGGCCAGTTGCCCAACTGGCTAGTTGCCCACCTGCCCAGTTGCCCACTGTTCCAGATGAGTCTTGCCACCCGCCGCATTATCATTCTGCCACCGCCAGGCTGTACGTTGCCTTTGGTCGGTGCCAACACTGCACGTCAAATGCAGAGGACTCACCCTGTTGGCACGAATCTTTGCCAACTCGTTTGGCATATTCGTGCTAGCGTACGGTAGGCAGCTGCGCTTGCAGCACAAACAACCCTCAGTGCGCGTCGAGGTTTTGGCTGGCATGGTAGGGCAACCCTTATAGCGGAGATGGGGACGTTCATGCGGCTTGGTTCAGACGATCCCCCCACCCCCCCCCCCCCAACAGCTCGTGGGGTCCAGAATGGGCGAGAGCAAGCCAGAATGTAGTTCCACCACGATGGCATCTGAATCTCGCACGGAGGCACCTCCTGCATCCACTCTAGATGCTTTACCGCCACCTTCCAGTGCGTTGCCACGCCCACGCACTGACCTTGATTTCCTTTTCGGGGGGTGTTTCACCATAGCTCCAGTCGTAGTTGCTCCTGTTGCTTCTTAAGCAGTGAGAATGAGAAACCCAGTTCACCCGAGTAGCCTTACCCTTTTTACGGAGATGGATGCCGAGCCGCTTACACCGTTTTCCCCCGTTCGATCACCTCGCTCAACGAGCCTACCTTGGGGATTGTCATGATGTCAACCTGTCGCGGCTGCTTTTCCTGCTCAAAACAATCCCCTCAAATCTCGCTCGCCGTTCCTTCCACCGCGGTTTCTAGGCAAGACTAGATATGTGCAACATAAGATTTGTTTTTCCAAAGCGCCCAAGCCCTTCTCCCGCAGGGAAAACCGCTACTAAGGATGATGGACGGGCGAGCCGTGGAGTAGAGAATCCGGGTCCCCCGATTATGACGCTGGAGGAGCTGCAGCTAAAAGCCAAGGAGCAATGGCATCGCCACTTCTCTTGGCTCATCATCAGCGACAACTCTGAAGGTCGTCCTTGCATGAGGTGCAAGATTTGCATGAGGTGCAAGATTTGCATGGTGTACGTAGATCTAGAGACATCATTAAAAGATGGGTGCGCGACAACTTGTGCGACACGACCCTTGGCGACCTGATGACGGTTGACACAGAGGAGCTGGTGGAGAGGTAGCATGCCAGCAAGAAGCGGCGGCCGGCTAGAAAGGTAGTCATGGCTCAAGGTTCATGCCAGCAGAGATGCGCTTCAGCATCAGCAGCAGCACAAGCAGCAACGCGCGCAAAGAAAGAGGCAGAAGAGGTTGCAACAAGGGAGAGAGAGCATCAGAGGAATCGGCATGGGAACTACCTACTTGGAGGAAGGGCAAAGCCAGAGAAACAGTAGAAGAAACCTCTGAGAGTGGCAGTAGTAGCGTTGACAGTGGCAGTGGTAGTGATGATGACAGTGGAAGTAGCAATGCTAGTGACTCTTCCTCTTCTTAGTTAAAAGAAGGTTAGGATTAGGTTAGGATAGTTGCTTGCAAGTTATTAAGACTCAGTATCTACCTTCATCTGAAATTTCAAACCAGTACCTAGGATTCGTCTTGAAAAGCTAGACAACATTACATGGAGCCAGGACCTAGTCTTAAAGCCAAGCTGATCATTTTACTAAAGTTAATCCTGCTTAGAGTAGCAAAAGAGACAGAGGGATGTTTAAGAGAAAAGAAGAGGGTTTTACAAATGAGCAAAGATACAAGATATAGTGCAAGGGAAGGTGGCAAAAAGGGGGGTATACCACCAACAGATTAATCTATATAAAACTACACTAATAGTTTAGCATGTAGTTACATATATGAATTCAACACACTTGGTATATAAGCTAGTTTCCTAGTTCACTCCACTGTTCCAGGATGCAAATCGATTGGTTGTAAGTTTATTAATTTAAATCTTTCGGATTCAGATAGCCGTCGAACGTGCAGTATTGTCTGAAAATCACTGATTTCTTATTGTCCACTTGACGTAGTTTACGAGTTGTTAAAGCAAGTTGGAGGACTGAGTGCCAAAATGCGTCATTAGCATCAAATGTGCGGCGACTACGTGAAGAAAACACCGAACGTACCGCGCTCTGGTGTCATCGGTGTCGACCGAGGGTCCCGAGTAGCTGTCGTCTGTGCTTTTTTCAGCAGCAGCTCCAGCTCGAAGCTCCACGTATAGAAATCTTTGCCGTCAAACATAGTACTTGTCCTGATTTTTTAAATATTCAGGAACCTTGATTGAGCTTAGAGAATTGCATCATCGCTTGGGCGAAGACTTTTGCTGTTGATGCTTTTGTGTCGAGAAGGAAGGTTCGCGGGGTGGTTTCGCGGCCAATCGCGACCGGTTGAGAGGGTTGGGAGGAGGTTCCCGCGTCGCCATGTCGCAATGTCTAGAAACCTTGCTCGAGTGTTGAAAGTCGCTGAAGGAGTTGTTCGAGTGCGACGGAGCTAATCGTCGTCGTTGTAGATGTCGCAATTGGGCTGGGTTGGGCTTTAGCCGTAGAATATTTTTGACCTTATGCTCCTCTGGCCATCCTTACGCATAAGTGTGTGCCGAGCACCAGGGTTTCGATCAAGAGTATGACCGTGCCGGAATCACCTCAGGATGGTTTATCGCACAGAGTTAATGTAACAGAAGTTGACCTCACGTCAGAGTGCATATGTCTATAATGCAATAGGGTACGTTCCCCTGTTGCAATGAGACACAACCGTGCGATGCTGGAACCAATTACGACGAACCTGTTCCCACCAAATCATTTGTCCTACAGCTGCCCGATGCTTCTTCTCCCGATGATCCTGATGCTTCCAACCATACGCGACGTTTTGCGTGGTTCAGACCTTTCGCAATCGTACTCGCTACTGCATACTTCACTTGCTATTGACAAGAATGCGTAATGTTCGTCGTTTCACTGTCATACTTCACTTGCTATTGACAGGAATGCGTAATGTTCATCGTTTCACCGTCCTATTCACTGGACAGCTGTGAGGATGGCGAAGTACCTGGCAACTACATCAGGCATGGGGCTTGTGCTTGGAGGGACACACTCAGTTGTGCTGACCGGCCACTGCCACTCTTCCTATGCCGATGACATTGAGACTTAGCGGTCTACTCGGGGTTACTGCTTCAGCTTGGGCGCTTGATCTGTGTCGTGTAGGTCTACACAGTCGTCGTCTTTGGCGCAGTCCAGCACAGAGGCAGAGATATACGCTAGTGCCATGGTTGTGCAGAGCTTTGCTGGTTGACCACCTTGCTTACCGACCTTGGTAAGCGACCGAGCTATGCACCGTCCGTGTTCATTGACCACAAGGCCATGATTATCATTGGAGAGCAGAATGAAGCACATCGACGTAAGGTACTTTTTCTTGCGAGAGTTGCAGCGACGCCGCCAGGCACCCTTGGACTTCGTGGAGTCACACGATCAACACTGCAGACATCTTCACCAAGGCTCTACCGCCTGATGACCACCACATGTTCTGTCTGTAGCTAGGTCTTGTTGAGGCAGGCCCTCGGTTGCTGTAGCCTTGCATCTTGTTTCTTTCTCTATTTGTACTTGTATTTATATATACGTGAAAACTCTTGAACTAGCGTTGTGGCCAGTTGCTTGTGCTCAGACTGTGTGGTGACATTGTGATCCACCCTGAGCTTGCTTGTCTTGTTGCTTCTCTTGACTGGTCTTGTGACCATTGCTTGATTGCTCTGCTTGTTTTTTTATGCCCCTCACTTAGTCTATAGGGTTGTGTCAAAGTATGTTATATCGTTTAGAGGCTGTAGTGAGGCTCATCCTAGGGGGTACACAAAATACTCTCGACAATTTTTTGTACCCCTCCTAATCCATCATTCTCTCCATTACAACTTAGTTCTTGAGATTTTCGTAACTTACCCTAATATATTTCATGTAGGAAATTTGCAGCCCTAGCAGTAAGCGCAAAATTTCCCCTTGTGCCCCGTATTTTTGTAGTATTTGGAAAGGGTATCCTCTAAATAATTCCAATTAATTGCCTAAGTAGATTGTTGGGATCCCTAGGCATCTAGCGAACGTAACCCTTTGTTTCTTTTAGAGATTGTACAGAACATCGAGGAATTTGTTACCAAGAACATGAATGACGTTTCCAGCAAATTTTATTGCTCGTGTCGCCTTGCGACCTGACCTGACATGCAGCAACGAGGTGTTGTTTTGTCATTCCCCCCAAAATCCACGAGTTGTCTCATCTGCGAGGTGCTGTCAGCCACGAGTCGTTGCAAATTCTGGCCAATCTCTTCAGCTCAACCTTGGCATTCATACCGTTCAGCATTGAACATGAACGTCGGAGAACCACGGACTTCCGTTACTCAAGTGCTTCTGCTTCATGCTCACCTCCAAGCACCACGCGACTAGGTTTTTTACTCTCGAGGGACTAGGAATGGTTGGCTGGATTCTCGTTCCCAATACCGTGGGAAGGTTGCAGTGGCGGCAAATTTCTGTTTAGTTTCCGACTCATTCGTGGAAGTAGTAGGGATTGACGTGCGAAGGAAGAATGACTCATTCAACACAGCTACCTCGTGAAGCGAGAACAAGGGATGACCAGCTTTCCCCGTCGATGGCCAACAGGGCGCGAGCCACGTCGATCAACCAACTGCCAGACGAGATTCTATCCAGAATCATCTCGCTTGCCACTGCCGCCAACCAAGCAGAACTGACAGCAAAACTTGACGCCGCGGATGGTGCCGGCCGGACTGGCGAGCCGAACCTAACGGATGGCCCCGATTTTAGCAACCTCGCGGTCGTGTGCAAGCGATGGTTGCTGCTCATGACGACCCTCCGCGTCCGTGGCGGCTTTAAGTCACACTCCCCCGAACTCCAGGGTCCCGAGCTGCGCGCCATGATGCTCTCCGCCCCCGCGTTCTCCGCGCCGGCGCTCCTCCGCGCGCTGGCGCTCGCGCCGAGAGTCACGGCGCTTTCTCTGGAGGCGAGCGCCGTCGATTTCTACGACGACGAGTTCCTGTCTCGCCTGCTCTCCGCGCGCCCTCACCTCGCCCGCCTCAGCATCGCCCCTCCCCGCTTCACCGGAACGCCCCACTTTCGAATCGGCACGAAAGCTGTCGATAATTTCTTCCGCCTCGCCTCGTCGCGCCTGCAAGAGCTCTCGCTGCGCGAGTGTCTCGGCCACACGTCGAAGCTCCCTGCTTCCGTCGCGTCGCTGTCGTCGCTGCGCGTGTTCCGCCTTTTCTCCAAGGTTCTCCGCTCTCTGCCCGACGAGATGTGCCAGCTGTCTGCCCTGCAAGAAATTTACCTAAACTGCCCGTTGCTGCGGCAGCTGCCCAAAACTTTCGGCCGGCTAACGAGGCTGGAGCACCTTTCGTTTACTGGCTGCTCGGAAATGCGGCGTCTGCCGGATTCGCTCGGCGATCTCTCCTCGCTCACCTCTCTCCACGTCGACGGCTCGTGGCAGGTCGATCGCTTCCCGCCTCGCGTCGGCGCGCTGCAGCAGATGCGACGACTGGAGCTGCGAAACTTCACCGGCGCGTTACCAGACGCATGCGAAAAATGGGAGAAACTCGAGCAAATCACTCTGGTTTCCTGCGCCGACATGCGCGCTTTCCAGCTCGCGTCCGTGCACTCCCTCACGCGTCTCACCATCAGCGCCTGCTTGAATGTCGAGTCGCTACCACCCAACCTGCCCTTCGCGTCGGCATTGCGCCATCTGAAGATAAACTATCTCAACTCCGAAATACCCCTCGAGCCGCTAAGCCAGCTCGTATCTCTGGAGCGGCTCGCGGTCTCAGCCGTTGACCGCTCGGAGCGCTTTCCCGAGGCGCTCTTCGCGCTGCCGTCGCTGGCGTACGTGAGTTTGAGGTACGTGTCGTGGCTGGAAGAAGCTGGCGACGTGGCGGCTGTGGCGAACCCAAGGGAGCCCGCACGAAATCATCCCGCCGAGCACTCGGCGCTGGGCCCGTCCCTGACGCATCTCAGCATCTGCACGAACAACTTGTTGTACGGCGCGCGAGATCGCAGGCTCTCCGCGCGTCTGTGCTCGCTGCTCTCCCTCACGCACCTCTCCATCGACTGCCTCTCCTCCTGTTCCCTCCTCCCCTCCGACCTAGGCCATCTCACCAACCTGCGCTCGCTCTCCCTCTGCGGCACCTGCCTCTACCTCCCGCATTCCCTCTCCCGCCTCGCCCCATGCCTGCAATCCCTGAAGCTGGACTACAGCGGGCACAGCAGCCCGGATACCTTACACCGCGTGTCCCCTTCCTTCCTCACGGACCTCACCTCTCTCACAGACCTCCGCCTCCACAACATACACCTTCCCTCCTCCCTGCCTGCCTTTGCCTCCCTCCGCACGCTACACATAGACTACGACAGACGTTTCTCCAGCGACGCGTCGCTTCCGCAAGATCTGGGCCAGCTGGCAGCCTTGGAGTGGCTGGAGCTGAGAGGCTGCTCCTTGCAAGATGGGCTTCCGCGGTCCTTCTGTGCCTTAAGCTCCCTGCGCCGCCTGTTCCTCAGTAGTGAAACCCTGAAGCACCTCCCCGGGGCGATTTCTCAGCTGTCGCGCCTGGAAGAGCTCACTTTGGACTGGTGCTACAGGCTGGCGTCCCTACCCCCGGGGTTTGGACGTTTGGGGGCACTGAAAAAGCTGCGTATTCACAGTGGGGGAAGTGTTCATCTGCCCGACACTCTGGGCGACTTATCCTCGCTTGAGGAGGTCTCCTTGGCATATTGCCCTCACACTCTCAGCTTGCCCTCCTCCTTCTGCCTCCTCCCTCGCCTGCTCACGCTTTCGCTCACTAGCTGTGACGATCTAACCACCCTGCCTGCAAACTTCGGCTCGCTATGCTCCCTGCAGCGCCTCTCTGTCGACTCGTGCAAAAAGTTCCACCATCTGCCCGACTCCTTCTCCGCCTTGCCCTCCCTAACCCTCCTCAGCATTTCGGACTGCCCGGAATTCTCCTCCCTCCCTGAGACCTTTGGCTTGCTGCTCCGCCTCACCCGCATCAAAATTGTCGAATGTGACTCATTCACGCACCTCCCCAGCTCCTCCTCCTCCCTGTCTGCGCTCCGAGTGGCCTGCTTCAGCCTTTGCAAGCAGCTGCACTCCCTCCCGCCCACCCTCGGCCTGCTGCCTCGCTTGGAAGTGCTTCAGTTGAGGGAGTGTGAGGCGCTCAAGTCGCTACCGGAGTCGCTCAGGCAGGCGAGGGCGCTGAGGCACGTGGATGTGTATGGCAGTGGAGTGTCGGAGAAAGGGGTGGAGGCGGTGGGATTTTGTGGGAAACAAGTGCATGTTGTGTGGGGGAGGATGGGAAAGGCTGAGCACGTGTGGACGAAGGTCCATGGGAGGATGTGAAGAGGATGTATGGAGGTAAAGTTGGAATAAGGATAATGTTGGTTCTTATGGTGCTGGCTCTGTAAACGCCCTTAATGGTGTATACCTTTTTTTCCTTTTCAACTCAATACCTCTAGGACTGTTTCAACTCAATACCATGGTGTTCTTTCGCTGGACCTACAGGATATCTTGAGGTGTTCAAGCACACTTCACTACAATAAGTACAGCAAATAACAGCCACCACATCACACCACCCTCCCGACTTTACGTCATTCCAGCAGCGTCGTCACGCGCATCCTACCGTATTGCCACTACTCTCAAACAACTTTCACATGCAGCAACGCAACGAGGTGTTGTTTGTTGGGCTCCTTAGGTACCTCATTAACTTTGCTTGTTTTAGCGATTGTACAGACATCGAGGAATTTGTTACCAAGAACATGAACGACGTTTCCATCTGTTTTTAGAGCGTGTTACGTACCCCTTAAAGCAGCAGTATACATTTGGCAGTACTGTTTGGCTGACTACAGTGCCCAAAACTATTTCGCCCTAGCGAAAGTGAAACAGCTTGGCGATCGTATCGGCGAAAATCCCGAAGCCCCCCCACCACCTCGGGGGAATTGTGTGCTCGCAAAAGAGAAGCACCTCGAGAGCAAACACCAAGTACTGGTGCGAGGGTACCAATCAGCATAACCATGGGTTCTATTATTAGTCTACCCCACTTGAAGTTCTATCAGGTGCTGGGCCGGCAGAACAGACACCACGACCACTAAACCATTATCTCGTGAGTCCGCAATGTTAAGTTGTAATGTGTTATTTATATGTAGGTAGGCTGTAGTGGGGTAGCCAATACAGGGTACAAACCCAACTAGGGTTAGCTACTTGTACCCAACTGTTTCTTTCAATGCATCATTCTTGCCTAGTTCTTTTCACATGGTATTCAGAGCAGGAGGTCCCTAGGACCTACCGACCGTTTTTTTTTTTAAGGGCCCACCACCGCTCGCATGCGGTTACCACGCTACCCCGTGCCCTAGCCTCGTAGCGCCCTCGTGCGCCCTCGTTAGCGCCCTCGTGCGCCCTCGTTAGCGCCCTCGCGCGCCCTCGTTAGCGCCCTCGCGCGCCCTCGTTAGCGCCCTCGCGCGCCTCTCGTTAGCGCCCTCGCGCGCCCTCGCTAGCGCCCTCGCGCCCCCTTGTTAGCGCCCTCGTGCGCCTCTCGTTAGCGCCCTCGCGCGCCCCTCGCAGCGTCGCCCGCCCGCCGAGCCGCCCGCTCGCAGCGTCGCCCGCCTACCGCGCTGCCCGTTTCGCAGCCCGCCCGCCGCGCTGCCCGCTCGCAGCGTCGCCCGCCCGCCCGCTGCCCGCTTGCAGCGTCGCCCGCCCGCCCGCTGCCCGCTTCGCAGCGTCGCCCGCCCGCCGCGCTGCCCGCTCGCAGCGTCGCCCGCCCGCCTCGCTGCCCGCTTGCAGCGTCGCCCGCCCGCCGCGCTGCCCGCTCGCAGCGTCGCCCGCCCGCCTCGCTGCCCGCTTGCAGCGTCGCCCGCCCGCCCGCTGCCCGCTTCGCAGCCCGCCCGCCGCGCTGCCCGCTCGCCGCGTCGCCCGCCCGCCCCGCTGCCCGCTTCGCAGCCCGCCCGCCGCACTTCCCGCCTGCAGCGCCGCCTGCCCACCGCGCTGCCCGCTTCGTAGCCCGCCCCCCGCACTGCCCGCTCGCCGCGTCGCCCGCCCGCCGCGCTTCCCGCCGAGCTACCTACCTGCAGCGCTGCGGCAGCTTCCTTTGCTCAGTCGCACTGTCGCTATGGCTTCCATCCGCGTGCTGTCGTTCGATGCTGAGGGCCGCCCTGTGAAGTTCGCCACTTGGCTGGATGACCTGCAGCTGTTCCTTCTGAGCGATAGCAAGGAGCATGTGTCGCTCTATGATTACGCGTCTGGTGCTGCACCTGCCCCTCCTGCCACAGCTGAGCTTAGTGTTCGTTCCCACTGGCAGACTCGTGACGCAGCTGCTCGCCTAGCCATTCGCAGTCACCTGCCGCTAGCTGAGCTCGAGCATTTTGGCGACTGCAAATCCGCTAAGGCCCTGTACGATGCTGTCGTTGCTCGCTACTCCTCGCCTGCCACAGCCGAGCTTAGCCGCCTCATGCTGCCGTACCTATTCCCTGAGCTGTCCACCTTTGCTACAGTCGCCGATCTTATCACCCACCTTCGCACTAGTGATGCTCGCCTGCGTGCCGCCCTTCCCACCGAGTTCTGCGCTAAGAATCCCCCTCCACTGTACTGGACACTCCACTTCATAGTCACCCGTCTCCCTGACACCCTCAGCTCAGTTCGAGACCACTTCCTTGCTCGCTGTCCCACTGAGCTCACAGTCGCCCTCCTAGAGGAGCAGCTGCTAGCGGCCGAAAAGAGCATTGTAGCTGTCGGTGCTGCTCGTGGCGCTCCTCGCACCCCCATCTTTGAGGGGTGTTCTCCCTCTCCCCTCGCTCCCTCCTACGCTACTGCTGCTGCTGTTGACTTCCTTGGTGCTGAGTCTGCTGGCGCTGCTTCTGCTCCTGGTGGGAGGCGCCGCACCGGCAAGGGCAAGGGGGGCAAGGGTGGCGGGGGTGGCGCTGGGGGGGGAGGAGGTGGGGGAGGTGGGGGGGGAGGCGGTGCTGGAGGGAGCGGTGGCGGGAGCGCTGGTGGGAGTGGGGTCGGCGGTGGAGGCGGGGGCGGCGGAGGAAGCAGTGGCAGTAGTGGCGGCGGCGGCGGTGGCGGCGGTGGCGGTGGTGGCGGTGGTGGCGGTGGCGGTCGGAGCGGTGGTAGTGGTGGCGGCGGAGGTCGGAGTGGAGGCACTGGCTCGGGCCAGAGCTCCCAGCAGCAGCAGCGTCCCCAGACGACCCAACAGCTTCGTGAGTGGCTTGCTCAGCGTGGGACGTCGGGGGGCAGTGGCCGCTGTTCCTATGTCATTCGCACAGGTGACCGCAAGGGACAGACGTGTGGGAGGTTCCACACCCCGTACCGCTGCTTCTCCCGCCTTGACGACGCTTGGCGTGAGGAGATGGGCGAGGATGTTGAGCGCCCCCGCTGGGCTGAGCTCATGAGGGCTGGTGTTGATATCTTTGCTCTTGACTATGATGCTATTATTGCTGCCATGTATGCATTGACTGTTAGTGCCGAGGGAGACTGTTACTTGTGTGTGCCGCCTGACCCAGGTATAGAGCCAGCTGCCCTGGGTACTAGTGAGTCTGCTCTCTCTGGTATGGTGCCCCCTGTACTTGCTCCCTCCAGTGCTGTCCCAGTTGTTTGCGAGTCTGCTCTCTCAGGTACAGCACCCACAGAGACTGCTCTCTCAGGTACCGCACCGGCTGAGGCCTGTCACACCTTCACCCTTGACTCAGGTGCTTCCCGTTGTTTCTTTCGTGACAGTACTGAGCTCACACCGCTTCCTGCACCGGTCCCAGTCTCCTTGGCTGACCCCTCTGGGGGCCCAGTCCTTGCCCAGTCCACCACTGTGCTCCCTTGTCCGGCGGTTCCGTCTGGCTCGTTGTCGGGTTTCCACCTCCCCTCGTTCTCGACGAACCTGGTGAGCAACGCTGTCATCCAGGATCAGTGGGTTGACACCTTTACCCCTGGAGGACAGCGTGTGGCGATCTGCACGTGCTCCAGGACCGGCCGTCACCTGGCTACGTTCACCCGTCGGCCGGGGTCGAGTCTCTACACACTGACCACTGCGTCTCCTCAGGTCGCTGCTGTCGGTCAGGTGTCCGCGTCAGGTCTGGTGGCCCACGCCTGTGAGTGTCGTTCCCTGTCGCACCAGACTCTTCTCTGGCACCACCGCCTGGGTCACCCCTCCTTGCCACGCCTCCGTGGCATGCACCGTCGCCGCCTTGTGTCTGGTCTTCCCAGGTCCCTCCCTCCCCTCCCTGCCTCGCCTGCGCCGCCTTGCCTTCCTTGCGTCGAGGGGCGGCAGCGCGCCGCTCCTCACTCCTCCTCGTTCCCCCCGACAGAGGCTCCTCTGCAGACCCTCCACCTGGACGTGTGGGGCCCAGCCCGCGTTCGTGGCCAGGGCGGTGAGCGGTACTTTTTGCTGGTTGTCGACGACTACTCGCGTTACACCACGGTCTTCCCCTTGCGCACCAAGGGTGAGGTCCCTGCTGTTCTGATCCCTTGGATCCGCACAGTTCGTCTCCAGCTCCGCCGCCGTTTCCGGACGGATCTTCCTGTCCTGCGTCTGCACTCTGACAGAGGTGGTGAGTTTACCTCCGACCTCTTGAGGACCTTCTGTCAGGCGGAGGGCATCGAGCAGACCTTCACGCTTCCGGACTCCCCACAGCAGAATGGGGTTGCTGAGCGCCGCATTGGCCTGGTCATGGAGGTCGCTCGTACCTCCTTGGTCCACGCGGCGGCTCCCCATTTTCTGTGGCCGTTTGCTGTCCGGTACGCCGCGCATCAGCTCAACCTCTGGCCCCGTGTCTCCTTGCCGGAGACCTCGCCCACACTGCGTTGGACGGGGGAGGTTGGCGATGCGTCGCGCTTCCGGGTGTGGGGTGCTCGTGCCCTTGTCCGCGATACGTCCGCGGACAAGCTCTCCTCCCGCACACTTCCCTGTGTCTTCCTTGGCTTTGTCCCTGACGCGCCGGGCTGGCAGTTTTACCACCCCACCTCGCGCCGGGTCTTCGCCTCTCAGGACGTCACCTTTGACGAGTCGGTCCCTTTTTACCGTCTCTTCCCCTACCGCACTGCCCCCCTCCCTCCCCCGCCGCTTTTCCTTGCTCCTGGTCCCCCTCCGGTAGACCCCCTTCCCCCTCAGGGTCCTGCTCCTTCAGGTGTCTCTCAGGTAGACCCTCCTCCCGTCGCTGAGCCTGTCGAGGTCACAGGTGACTCAGGTGCTGCTGCAGGTGGTGCTGCTGGGAGTGCTGAGCCTGGGGGTGCTGAGCCTGCGGGTGCTGGGCCTGGGAGTGCTGGGACTGCGGGTGCTGGAGCTGAGGGTACTGTGCCTGGGAGTTCGGCGCCTGGGGGTGCTGAGCCTGGGGGTGCTACGACTGGGGGTGCTGAGCCTGCGTGTACGGAGTCTGGGGGTGCCGAGCCTGGGGGTACTGCGCCTGAGGGTACTGAGCCTGGGGGTGCTGCTGCTGAGCCTACGGAGCCTGGGGTTGCTGCGTCTGGGGGTGCTCTTCCTGGCGGTACTGGAGCTGCTGGAGCTGACGACGCTGGAGCTGACGGTTCTGGACACGGTGGTCCTGCTGGTTCTGGAGGTGCTGGCGAGGGGAGGTCTGACGCTGCTGGGGCCTCTGGTGCTGACGTCGCCGAATCGAGGGGTGCTGCGGCGGAGGGTGCTGGTCCAGGTGCTTCTGGTGCTCCGGGTGCTGGAGGTGCTGGCGGAGCTCCGCCGTCGCGCCTGTTCTTCGCTCCTCCGTCGCCGTCGGCTTTGCCGCCGCCTGACACGGTGCTTCGCCAGGTTCTTTCCCTCCCGTCTTCCACTGGCCTTCCCCTTCAGCCTGGCTCCCCCCTCCCTGCTCCTGTGCCTTATACTGCACAGCCGGACTCGCTTACGGAGCGTCGTGAGCCTGCGTCTCGTCCTGCCTCGCCTGTTCGCGCTGCTCGCACTGCTCGCACTGGTCCCACTAGCCGTCGTGTCGCGCGTCCGCGTCCTCCTCCTGTTCCTGGCACGCACATTATGGCACTTCGTCCTTCCACTGGTCCACAGCGTGTCCCCCTACCGTCTCCTCCTGCGTCTTCTCTTCCTGACGTTCCCGACCCTGAGTCTGACAGTGTTCGTGCTGCCCACCCTACTGTCACGCGTCTTCTCGCCACTGTTGTCACTGACCCGTCGTTTGAGTCTTCTGCTGCGTCTGCCCTGGTCGCTGAGCTTGTCGACTTTGCTGCTGCCTGTCGCCTCGACTACGCCGCCAGTCTTGTTGCTGGGTCTGAGTCTGTCTGTCCTCCGTCCGTCGGGGGTGAGTGTGCTTTTGGCACGGACGTCCTTGAGGACAGGCAGGAGGACTTTGACTCTCTCGCGGCTGCTGTACCTCATCTCGTGGCCTGGTTGCTTGCCCCTGAGGGAGACCCGGATGCACTAGACATCCCCACTCCGCGCACTTACGCAGAGGCGATCTCGGGTCCCTACTCCTCTCAGTGGCAGACAGCCATGGACGCAGAGATGGCATCCTGGAAGTCCACAGGCACCTACGTCGACGAGGTTCCCCCTCCTGGGGCGAACATCGTCGATGGCATGTGGATTTTCAGGGTGAAGCGGCCGCCAGGTTCTCCGCCTGTCTTCAAGGCTCGTTACGTTGCTAGAGGCTTCAGTCAGCGTCAGGGGGTCGACTTCTTCCAGACCTTCTCCCCCACCCCGAAGATGACCACTCTTCGGGTTCTGCTGCACGTTGCTGCTCAGCGTGACTACGAGCTTCACTCTCTTGACTTCAGCACAGCGTTCCTGCAGGGCAGCCTGCACGAGGAGATCTGGCTGCGCCGCCCACCTGGCTTTACTGGGTCGTTTCCTCCTGGTACCCAGTGGAGCCTCCGCCGGCCAGTCTACGGTCTCCGCCAGGCGCCACGTGAGTGGCACGACACACTGAGGACTACACTTGCGGCTCTTGGGTTCGCGCCGTCTACTGCTGACCCGTCGCTGTTTCTGCGCACAGACACGTCGCTGCCGCCGTTCTACATTCTCGTGTACGTCGACGACTTGGTCTTTGCTACTGCTGACACTGAGGCACTCGCTCGTGTGAAGTCGGAGCTGCAGAAGAGACACACCTGCACTGACCTGGGTGAACTGCGTAGCTACCTTGGCTTGCAGATCACCCGGGACAGAGCTCGCCGCACCATCACCCTGACTCAGTCACACATGGTGCAGCAGGTCCTTCAGCGCTTCGGCTTCCAGTTCTCCTCACCACAGGCCACACCTCTGGCTACCAGCCACTCGCTCTCAGCTCCACCTTCGGACGAGTCCGTAGAGCCGAGTGGCCCGTACCCAGAGCTTGTAGGCTGCCTCATGTACCTGATGACTTGCACGCGACCTGACCTCGCGTACCCACTTAGCATCCTTGCTCGTTACGTTGCGCCTGGGAGACACAGGCGAGAGCACTGGGAGGCTGCTAAGAGGGTGCTGCGTTACTTGTGCAGTACATCAGGCATGGGGCTGGTGCTTGGAGGACGCGACAGAGTTGTCCTCACTGGTCACTCGGACGCTTCTTGGGTGGACGACCTGGCTACGCAGCGGTCGTCACAGGGTTACACCTTCAGCCTTGGCTCTGGTTCTGTCTCGTGGCGGTCCACCCGCTCTTCTTCTGTTCTCGGCTCTAGTTGTGAGGCTGAGATCTACACCACAGCCATGGCTGCACAGGAGTTACGCTGGCTCACCTACCTGCTGACTAACTTGGGAGAGCGGCCTAGTTCTCCTCCAGTTCTGTACGGTGACAACAAGGCGGCTCTTGCCTTGTGTCAGGAGCACAGACTGGAGCACAGGACGAAGCACATTGCTCTTCGCTACTTTCTTGCTCGAGAGCTTCAGCAGCGCGGTCAGCTTCGGCTTGTGTACGTGGACTCGAAGGCCAACACTGCTGATATCTTCACCAAGGCGCTCCCGCCTAGTGATCATCAGCGGCACTGTACTTCTTTAGGCCTTGTGTCCACGTTTCCTCACTTGCTCACTGCTTGACATTCTTTGTACTGTACTTTATATTTGTCTTGCTGCTTGTCCTGTTCTATATCTAGCACTACATGTGAACTGGCCTTGTGGCCTTTGTTTGTGCTCGGAGTGTGGTGACGTTGTGATCCACCCTGGGCTTGTTTTTGCTTTGCTGGACTGGTCTTGTGACCCTTTGCTCTCCCCCACTTTGCCTATGGGGGTGTGTTAAGTTGTAATGTGTTATTTATATGTAGGTAGGCTGTAGTGGGGTAGCCAATACAGGGTACAAACCCAACTAGGGTTAGCTACTTGTACCCAACTGTTTCTTTCAATGCATCATTCTTGCCTAGTTCTTTTCACACGCAAAAGCTGTCCGACTACGCTACAATAAACGGAATCATTCTACACCTCCGCATGTGTACGTCTGTCCGCTCCCCGCGAAATAACTCCCCCCGCGCGCACTCGCTCCCTCCGCGCGCACTCGCGCCCCCAGCGCGTATTCGCTCTCCCCGCGTGCTCTCGCTCCCTCCGCGCTCACTCGCTCCCCTCGCGCACTCGCTCCCCCAGCGCTCACTCGCTCCCCCAGCGCGCATTCGCTGCACCGCACAGGCGGGATCCCCCCGCGCTCACTCGCTCTCCGCGCGCAATCGCGGTCTCCGTGCGCGCTCGCGCCCCCAGCGCGCATTCGCTCCCCCCGCGCTCGCTCACTCGCCCCGTGCGCACTCGCGCCCCCAGCGCGCATTCGCTCCCCCCGCGCTCGCTCGCTCGCCCCGTGCGCACTCGCGCCCCCAGCGCGCATTCGCTCCCCCCGCGCCATTGTCGTTCCTTCTACTCTGCGCCAGGTTGTCTGTAAACGTCGACCCGACCTGTCTGGTCGGGTCGACCGGTGGGCGGTTGGGTACTAGCAGGCAACCTGCAAATGTACCAACCGCCTGTTTTGAAGACCCAACCACACCTACAGTTTTTAGGGCAGACCCAACAGTCACTAAACCAATTAGTGTGAACCAAACCTTGATTTTTGTTTTCGTGCACCAATCACGTTCAGCTTCGATAGTGTCACCTACCCCCAATTTTAATTGTAGCACTGGTTGCATTGCAGGTTGGTACGTTCGTGGCTGGTTGCCCCAACCAACTAGTTGTGGGCGGGACCATATGGTCGCATAGAACACCTGGTCGCCTCGACCAGGTGTGATTGTGCTCTGGTACAAACGTCAAATACTGTACACTGTAGACCCTAGGGTTCTCTGGTAACCCTACGTTCAACCCAACGTTCAAGGCAACCGCGAACAGGCCCCAAAATAGGGGGTCCGTAACATGCGCCTTGCGTTGCGACCCGACCTGTCATGCAGCAACGAGGTGTTGTCATTCGTCAGCCACAAGGTCTTGCATGTTTCCAGCCAATCTCTTCAGCTCAACTTTTGCATTGGTACCGTTTGGTATTGCAAATGAACGCCGAAGATCTACGGATTTTTGTTGCTGAAGGACTTCTGCTTCATGCTCACCTCCAGCCACCTCGCGACTTGGATTTCTTGTCACAGAAACACAAATTCAGCCATGTCGAACCCTGATTTGCCACCTCTTCTAAGGAGTAGGAATGGTTTCCTAATTTCTCATTCTGTCCGTAATGCCTGAGCGGTCGCGTTAACGCTGCAGTGGCGGCAAGTTTTTTTTTTTAGTTTCGGACTCATTCGTGGAAGTAGAACTCTAGGGATTGACGTGCGAAGCAAGAATGACGAGTTCGCAGCCATTCAAAACGTATGTACGTCGTGAAGCGAGAACGCGGTGTGAGCAGCTTTCCCCGTCGATGGCCAACAGGGCGCGAGCCACGTCGATCAACCATCTCCCCGACGAGCTTCTTTCCAGAATTATCTCGCTTGCCTCGACTGCCGCCAATCCTGCAGAACTGACAGCAGAACTTGGCGGCGCGAATGAAACCGGCAAGACTGGCGAGCCCAACGTCACGGATGGCCCCGATTCTAGCAACCTCGCTGTCGTTTGCAAGCGATGGATGTTCCTGATGACGATCCTACGCGTCCGTGGCGGCTTTACGTCACACTCCTCCGAACTCCACGTTGCGGAGCGGCGAGAGATGACGCTTTCCGCCCCCGCGGTCTCCGCGCCGGCGCTCCTCCGCACGCTGGCGCTCGCGCCGAGAGTCACGGCGCTTTCTCTGGAGGCGAGCGCCGTCGATTTCTACGACGACGAGTTCCTGTCTCGCCTGCTCTCCGCGCGCCCTCACCTCGCCCGCCTCAGCATCGCCCCTCCCCGTTTCACCGGAACTTCCCACTTTCGAATCGGCACGAAATCTTTCGAGAATTTCTTCCGCGTCGCGTCGTCGCGCCTGCAAGAGCTCTCGCTGCGCGAGTGTCTCGGCCACACGACGAAGCTCCCTGCTTCAGTCGCGTCGCTGTCGTCGCTGCGCGTGTTCCGCCTGTGCTCCAAGGTTCTCCGCTCGCTGCCCGACGAGGTGTGCCAGCTGTCTGCCTTGCAAGAACTTTACCTGAGCTGCCCGTTGCTGCAGCAGCTGCCCGAAAATTTCGGCCAGCTAACGAGGCTGGAGCACCTGTCGTTCACGGACTGCAAGGTATTGCGGCGTCTGCCGGAATCTTTCGGCGATCTCGCCTCGCTCACCTCTCTCCACGTCGACGGCTCGTGGCAGGTCGATCGCTTCCCGCCTCGCGTCGGCGCGCTGCAGCAGATGCGGCGACTGGAGCTGCGAAACTTCACTGGCGCGTCGTTACCAGACGCATGCAAGAAATGGGCGAACCTCGAACAAGTCACTCTGGATTCGTGCGCCATGCGCACTTTCCAGCTCGCGTCCGTACACTCGCTCACGCACCTCACCATCAGCGTCTGCTGGAAGCTCCAATCGCTCCCACCCATCCTGCCCCAGGCGTCCGCGTTGCGCCAACTAACGCTCAACCGTCTCATGTTTGATGTACCCCTCGAGCCGCTAAGCCAGCTGGTATCTCTGGAGCGCCTCGAGGTCTCTGCCGTCTACCATTCAGTGCGCTTTCCCGAGGCGCTCTTTGCGCTGCCGTCGCTGGCGTATGTGAAGGTGGGGTCCGTCATGAGGCTGGACCGTCGTCACGATGTGACAGAGACGGGGAACGCGAGGCAGGTGGCAGAGCTCCTGGGATACGTCGCGCGGAATCATCCCGATGCTGCCGTTGCCGCTGCAGCAGACACAGCCTCAGCAACAGTGGCAGCAGTAGCAGCAGCCACGGCAGAAGCCACAGCAGCAGCAGCAGCGGCAGCAGCCTCTGCAGGAGCCTTAGCAGCAGCGGCAGCAGCCACGGCACGAGCCATAACAGCAGCAGCAGCGACAGCAGCCACGGCAGCAGCGACAGCAGCAGCAGCGGCAGCAGCAGTAGCACGTACCACCTACCACACGGCGCTGGGCCCGTCTCTGAAGCATCTCAGCATCTGCGTGGGCAGCGTGGGGTACGAGAGGCTCTTCGCCCGTCTGTGCTCGCTGCTCTCCCTCACGCACCTCCACATCGAGTGCCTCTCCTCCGCAACACTCCCCTCCGACCTGGGTCATCTCACCAACCTGCGCTCGCTCTCCCTCTGCGGCTGGCTCTGCCTGCCGAACTCCCTCTCCCCCCTCGCCCCATGCCTGCAATCCCTGAAACTGCACTACACCGGCAACAACGCCGCCTTCCCCCGAGTGCCCCCGTCCTTTCTCACGGTCCTCACCTCTCTCACAGACCTCCGCCTCCGCAACATACACCTTCCCTCCCCCCCGCCTGCCTTTGCGCGCCTGCGCGCCCTCCGCACGCTGTGCATAGATTTCGACTGGGGCCTCCCCACCCACGTGGCCCTTCCAGAAGATCTGGGCCAGCTGGCAGCCTTGGAGTGGCTGGAGCTGAGAGGCTTCTGCATAAAAGACGGGCTCCCGCTGTCCTTCTGTGATCTGACCTCCCTGCGCCGCCTGTTTATCGATAGCAAAACCCTAAAGCACCTGCCCGAGGCGATTTCTCAGCTGTCGAGCCTGGAAGAGCTCACTCTTGACTCGTCCTACGAGCTGGAATCCCTACCCCCGGGGTTGGGCCGCCTGGGAGTGCTGAAGAAGCTGAGTGTTCGCGGGGGGTCCAAGGATTATCTGCCCGACACTCTGGCCAGCTTATCCTTGCTTGAGGAGGTCTCATTGACTCATTGTTCCCACAGTTTCAGCCTGCCTCCCTCCTTCTGCCTCCTCCCTCGTCTGCTCACACTTACTCTTACCAACTGCAAGAAGTTCCACCATCTGCCTGACTCGTTCTCCAAACTTCCCTCTCTGACCCTCCTCACCATCTCGGACTGCCCGGAATTCTCCTGCCTTCCTGAAACATTTGGCTTCCTGCCCCGCCTAACCCGCCTCACAATTGTCGAATGTGACTCATTCACGCACCTTCCTGGCTCCTTCTCCTCGCTGCCTGCGCTCCGAGTTGCCTGCTTCAGCCTCTGCAAGCAGCTGCACTCCCTCCCGCCCACCCTAGGCATGCTGCCGCGCTTGGAAGTGCTGCAGTTGAGGGAGTGTGAGGCGCTCAAGTCGCTACTGGAGTCGCTCAGGCAGGCGAGGGCGCTGAGGCACGTGGATGTGTATGGCAGTGGGGTGTCGGAGAAAGGGGTGGAGGCGGTGGGCCTTTGTGGGAAACAAGTGCATGTTGTGTGGGGGAGGATGGGAAAGGCTGAGAATGTGGGGACGAAGGACAAGGGGAGGAAGGGGAGAGGATGTGCGGAGAGGAAAATGGAGGAATGATGATGTTGGCTCCAACCGTGCTGGCTCTGTGTGAGGTCCTAATGGTGTACACCTGTGTTTCTAGCAAGACAGTAGGACTAGTATGTGTGTTGAGATGAAGATTACAGTTTAACTGAGCGTAGTATGGTATTGAGGAAAGCTGTGACCTACCTAACGGTATTGAGGTGCTCTTAGCTGAACCTGAACCTGTAGAGGAGACGATACAGAGAATTTAAGCTACGGTATCTCTGTTAACAATCACTACAATAAATACAGCAAAAAACCAGGCACCGCACCCCACTCCCAAGTTGTCGTCAGTCCAGCAGCGTCACTCTCGTCCGATTGTCACTGCCCTTCTCAAACAACAAATTGTCCACAACTGCCTCATGTCCCACTCCCCCACAACCAGCAGCAGCACCAGCACCACCAGCAGCACCAGCAGCACACCCCTCCCCACGTCACAGTCAGCAGCTCAGGACCCTCCTTCCCACCCGCACCTCCTCTCCCCCTGTGCCACCCTGTCACCGGCAGCTCCTCCCCTTCCAGGAACGGCAGCAGCATGATCTTGAACCTCGGCTCCACCACAGCCTTCCTCTCTACCTCCACACGCCAGTACTCCCCCCCTGTTGCCACACCCGCATAGTACGGCCCCTTGCCACTGCCCGGGCCCTGGGGCGACTTGCTCGACTCCACCTTCACGAGCCGGATGGGTGCAGAGCGGTGCCCGTCGCCCTGCAGTACGCGCAGCAGCATGCGCGGCGTGCCTGGGAGCGCCTGGCGGGTCTTGGGATGAACATCATCCCCCCGGATGAAGATAGCATCCGTGGTTGGATCCAGAGATTTGTACCGACGGGCTTCTTCCGGAGAAATAATCACATCACTTGCTGCCGCCGCCGCCGCCGCTGCAGCCGGTGCTGCTGCTGCCTTTCCAGCCAGTGCGGCAGCACCCGGCTTCTGCTGAGGGCCGGTGAGGAGGAAGAGGCGTTGGCCGTACCCCACCATGGCCATGTACGGCTGGGTGGTGTTGGCAACCCATGTATACGTGTGCGCCCTCTCATCCTTGCGAATATCGTCCACTATGATCACATATGGCCGCGACTTGGGGCGCTGAGCGGGATTCACAGGGCAAGTCTTGGCGTCCTTCCCTGGGACTGCTGCTGCGCACGTGCCTCCGGCACTGCCACTGCCACCACCGCTGCCGCTGCCGCTGCCGGTGCTGACCTTGGCGCGGATGAGAGCGGCGGTGCGGAAGGCGTAGCGCACGGGGTTGAACTCCTGGCGCGCACAGATGTGCCACGACGCCCATGCATTATCCTCCACCCACTCCGGCTCCACCACAGGGTCCCCAGCGCCCGGCACTGCCCCTGCACTCCCAGCAGCAGGGGGAGGAGTGCCCTTCTTGATGATCTTGGGAACCAGCGAGGGGCCGAAGTCCACGGGTTCGTAGTAGAAGTCCTTCCAGGCGTACGGGGTTTCGATGTTGTTGTCGTCCTGAGGCCGCGCTGCTGGGCGGGGTACCTGCACGGATTTGGTGTGGTGGGGAGAGAAGGAGAAGGGGGAAGAGACAGGGGGGTGGGGGAGTGAGTGGCGGAGTGCTTATAAGTGGCTGGGAGGGGCACCTGTGGGAATGGTGTGGTGAGGCAGGGAGGGACCGCAGGAGGCAAGCCAAGCACGCAGGGGCAAGGCCAAACATGCAACATACACCTACGGCCAAGGGGAAAAAGGCTGTCTGAATCCGGAATCGAACCGGAGACCTCCAGTGTGTGAGACTGGCGTGATAACCGACTACACCATCCAGACTTGGAAAGGTCACAAAAAAAGGAAACATACTGGTTTTATAACGCCCACCACTTGCACATCCATCCCCTTCCCCCCAACCCCCCACCCACCCGCCCGCCCATTCACCCGCCCAACCACCCACCCGCCCACCCTCCCGCCCACACACGCACCCCAACTCACCCACCCACCCACTTTCCCCACGCCCCTCGCTCACCTGCCAGCCCTTGGTGAGAAACCTGTACGCAGCACTGGCATCCCCGGCAAACCAGCTCAGCCGCTCCTCATGCCACGTGCCCACCACCTTCCCCGGCATGCAGCTCCACGTCAGCGGAAACCCCTTGGCCTCCGCCTCCAGCGTGTGCGTCCCCCCCTGCCCCAGCCCGTCAATCAGCACGGTCGAGCACGCCTCGCTCTCCACGTTGTGGTACAGCGCAGGGCAGATCCAGGCGCGGGAGCAGCCGAGAAGGTAGAAGTCGTTGCGGGACGCGTGGCAGTGGTCGAGGAAGTAGGTGTCCGGGCGACACTCGAAGAAGAGCAGAAGACCCTGCTCGTCCGTGCTCACTTGGGACGGGGACCACGGTGGGGTGGCAGCAGGGGTGGGGGACGGGAGGGGGATGTGTGGAAACGGGATGACAGGGGGTGTGGAGGCTGGGGGAGGAGGGGCGGGCTTTTCGCCTGGCTGGGCTGATTTTACTGCAGCAGCTAGCTCCGCCTCCCACTCTTTAACAGAAACAGCACCAGCCGCAGCAGCGGCAGCAGCAGGAGTGGTAGCAGCAGTGGTTCTACCATCGCCCCAGCCGGACCGTGCCGTGCCAGTCCCCAGCCTGTTGGCAAACAGCACGAGCGGGAGCCCAACCACAGACGCCACCTGCAGATAGGAGATGTTCTTCTTGGTCACATCCATGCCCAGCAGACACGTCTGGAACGGCATCTTGTTCACGCCAAACGCGCCAATCTCCTTGGTGCGCGGCTGCGTGTTGTACTTCTGGTAGATGAAATCCGTCAGCGGGTCGGCCGGAAAGAGGTACTTGGCTAGAATGTAGTACTCGCTCTGGGAGAACCCCCCGCAGAAGCACGTGCCGTCCTGCGCGCCGAAGCAGGGCGGGGCGAGGGACCAGGGCGCGAGGGTCTGGAAGACGTCCATGAGCAGCTGGTAGGTGTTGGTGGGGTCGGCAAACACGTCGTGGCCGCGCCGCATGACTGCCAGCATGGGGAAGGCCGCCTGGCGCATGGGCGTCATGAAATACCCGGGGAACTCCCGGGTGACACCTGGGGGAAGGGGGGAGGAGTGGGTGGAAGGGGACGGGGAAGACGAAGGGGAGGGAAGAGGGCTTATGCGGAAGGCCGCCTGGCGCATGGGCGTCATGAAATACCCCGGGAACTCCCGGGTGACACCTGGGGGAAGGGGGGAGGAGTGGGTGGAAGGGGACGGGGAAGACGAAGGGGAGGGAAGAGGGCTTATGCGGAAGGCCGCCTGGCGCATGGGCGTCATGAAATACCCGGGGAACTCCTGGGTGACACCTGGGGGAAGGGGGGAGGAGTGGGTGGAAGGGGACGGGGAAGACGAAGGGGAGGGAAGAGGGCTTATGCGGAAGGCCGCCTGGCGCATGGGCGTCATGAAATACCCGGGGAACTCGCGGGTCACGCCTGGGGGGGAGGGGGGGAGGGGGGGAGGGGGGGAGGGGGGAGGAGGGGAAAGGAGGGGAGTGCGGGGAGGGGAGAGGGTGAGTGAGTGAGCAAGGGGGGGTGAGGCCTTGGGGATATGTAGGAGAGAGAGTAATTTAAAAAAGGGCATCAGGTGTGAGAAAGCAGAGGTAAGACATCAACGTGGCATCAGGTGCTGACGGCGAGGTTGAAGAGTGGAAGCTGGGTGCATGCATGCATGCAAGCAAGTCAAGCAGCCCACACTGCATGCATGGCAGGTCCAAACAGAACGTGCGGAGCGGAGAACGTTAGTGGAGCAAGGAATGGAAGGGCGGGGGAGAAGCTCGTACCAGTGGGATCACAGGCGCCAGCGTAGGTCATGTAGTAGAAGAGCGACTTGACATTGAAATCCACTGCCACCGCATCGTACCGCAGCTTCTCCCTCCACCCCTTCTCATCCCCTGCCACACCCGCACCAACCCCACCCACCACCACCACCCCCTTCCTCTTCATCTCCTCCTCCTCCCTGTCCGCCTCGTCCCACGGCTCCTCCCAGTCGTCCTCCTCCTCGCCCTCCACAGCATACTGCACCAGCAGCACCAGCGCCGTCGCCAGCTGAAACGTAGTCCCAGTGTAGAAGGGGTTGAGCGCGGCGCCCTTGCCCATGCGGTAGGGGTCTGCGTTGAACGCGGAGGCCACGCGGTTGCGCCCCATGCGCAGGAGCAGCCGGCGCGCGGGGGCGAGCTGCGCGCGCGAGCCGGTGGCGCGCAGGGAGGGCGTGAAGAGCAGGTCGTAGGCGAGCGCGAGCGCCGTTGACGCGGAGCTGTCGCTGCGTGGCCCCGTGTTGTACCTGGAATCGGGGAGAGACGGTTGGGGGGCGAGGGTTGGGGAGAGAGGGTTGGGGAGAGAGGGTTGGGGAGAGAGGGTTGGGGAGAAAGGGTTGGGGGGAGGGGGATGCGGGGTGAATTTCGGATTGACTCAGACGTGTGGTGCGATGGGGGAGAGAAGGGGGAAAGGGGGGGAGAGGAAGGGGAAGAGGCTGAGGTGGTGTGGTGAGGGAAAGCACGCAGCAGTTGGAATTGCGACATAAAAAACGCGAAGGGCGTGTGCGTGTGGCAAGCACAGCAATTTTGCACAAACAAACGCAGTGAATATGCATGGTGACACGAACCTACGAATTCCCTCTCCCCCCACCTCTCTCCCGTTCCCCTCGCAGCCCGGGCGCACTCCCCCCCCACCCCTCTCCCCCCACACTTACTTGCAGAAGCCCCCTTCGCCCTTGACGAGCACGAGCGAGCCGCGCGCGTGGAACAGCAGGTGCACGCCGGCGGCGACCGCCAGCACGCCCGCGAGGTACTCCAGCCGCTTCTGATCGCCGCGCACCCACGCCACGTACCCCGCGTTCTGCAGCGCTTCGTATATGGGAGGGTAGAAACTAGGAACGCCCGCATCTTGCGAGCCGAACAGCAGCTTTACCCCGAGCGACGGCGTCGCGTCCGTGGCGGGCGGCGGCGGCACGATCCCGGAGCTCTTCAGCACGTAATTCTTAGTCGCCGGGGCCACTCCCATGTCGAACATGCGCGCGTAAAACGCCCCGTTGATAACCGCGCCGGGAGGTTTCGAACCCGCGTCGGTAACGAGCGCCTTCAGCCCCGCGAACGCCTTGCGCGGGTCGCCGCAGGGCAGGCGCGCGGAAATTGTCCCCGCGAGCACGTCGAAGATCTGCTTGATGGGGGAGTCCGCGGCGTACACCACGCGCTCCGCCCACCGCGATAGCTCCTCGAACGCCTGGCGCGGGACGGCAGTCGGCGCGGCGGCGTCCCCGTGCAGCGCGCGGCGCGTGAGGTCGGCGCGGTCCGCCTCCGTAAAGAGGACGCGCGGATGCGTGTACGGGGGCGGGTTGGCGGTTAGGCGGCGGCGGGAGCCGGGACGCGGCTGCGCGCGGAATAAGGGGACCGGTCCCGCGTCGAATTGACCTCCCATGGTGAGAGAGGCGGGGAGAAAAAGCGAGAGAGCGACTGGAGGGAGACGAGTCTGGGAAATCGAAGAACGAGGAACGGGATAGTAGAACTACGTGCTGCACCAATGCGCTGAGGACGAATTACGGAAGCGCATAATAATGGAGAGAGAAATAGATAAGATTATTGCTTGCTTTGCTGGTGCTAGTCCTGGAAAGTGCAATGGCAATCTCTACGGAAGGAAGGGAACCCAAACTGTGTTGCGTGTTGGTTGGTTCGCGAGTCGTGAAGCGCACCAAGCCACCGCCGACTTGACCGCCGGCCACAGGCTTGACTGGAAACACTTGGCCGCGAATGGTGCGGCGGGGCAGAGTGGTGGTGGTGAGGTGACTGTGGAATGTTGCGCATGCGGGGGATGAGACGAGAGGGAGGGGGTGGCGTGTTGGGGAGGCGAATGCGTGGGGCGATTGGTTTGCTGATGCGCGCGGAATGAGGGCATGGAAGGGGAGTTTGCATTTGTTATAAGTTCTTCACGATTAACACATACGTACCAGGGTGTAAGGAAAAGTCCTTTTCCTTAAGTAGCACCCCGTCTTATCTCGTACATGATTGTTCTCGCCAAAGCACACGGCTACCACTCACGACATTCGCCTTGACCACATTCCCGCCACTACACCCGTCGCAACCCAACCTCACGCCTCAGGCCTCCGCTTCGACACATCCCAACCTTAGTCCCGATCTCAGTAGCTGATGTAAGGGCGTGTGTCCTTCGGCAAAATTTGTTACCGTAAGTTTACTTTTTAGACTCGATTTTTTACACTCGAACTTGGTTCGAACTGTAATCGATTATTACAACTTTCTCTCGTCGAGCCGCCCTGCAAATCTCCAGTCAAGCATACGTGACATCGTGGGTTCGACTATCGAAACCCGACTTTCTGCAGTATTGCTCGCGTCGCGTGCGCGTCTCGTAGGTTACCCGGTTTGGGTTCTTGACAGTGCGCCACGTCGTCAGAGTACGACACTGAACAGTGAGGACCTACAAATAGCCCTCATGGCCTTCGTCAGTGTCGCCGATTTCGCAGCAGCTATGAACGTTGTGAGGAGTACACACCTTCACAAATTCGTTCGGACATCAATTCGAGCAGGGTTCGTACTGCACGTTCTGTTCCTTATTATGCGGTCGTTTGTACGACCGCCGCAAACCATACTAGCGATATTCACGAAGCCTGTAACCATCCAAAGTTCGAACTTGAATTTGAGCTCAGCCCATCAAGGACACTGCCCTAACCAGAGGATCGCAGTGGACATAATAAGTCTGCTTAGTTTAAAGGAATGCTATGAAGTGCTTGAAGTGCTTGCACTGACCTTGTTAATGATAGTTAGATAACAAGATGATTATAAGATAGAAGCACAATGATATAAATAGCAAATTAGCTAGCCATGTACTCTGAGGGGTACATTCCCTTATTAACTGTATTGCATAGCTACAGTAACCACGACTGTTGCTCTTCTCGACAGTTACCATGTTGCAGCGTGTAACCACTGAGTGCGATTACTGGTCGGTCAAAATTCACGATCGTTGACTGTCTTCGACTGCTAACCTTCGGATCATTCTCGATCTTTTGCATGCTCTATATGAGCTATTGCGGTACTGTCAGAAGTAGTAGGAGAAAGTTTAGAAGCAGAAAGAGAGTTTGGACTAGCAGCAGTTGAGATACAAATAGCAAACCCTAGATTGGGCTGTACTCGCTATAGAGTACCCCACTGCAGGCTAGACAAATACAACATTCTGACAGGTACTGGTACAATGCGTCGTTCCGTTATGGAGTGACGCGTTGGTGGGGAAGCTTCGGAAATGTTTTGATAACCTTTCGGTTATTCCAACATCAGTCACGGGCCCTTCGCACACCTCCCACACTTAGTTACCGTTATCACAATATTTTCGCTATATAACTCTCGCTAGCGCCTTCGCTCAATGTACTGCTTTGCTTCAATGGTGCAATTCTAGCTCGCTCGCTCAATTGCACTCGTAACACTTGGTATTCAGAACCTACAATCTCTTCTCGGACCACATCCACACCTTCGCTTCCCCACTATCTCAATTTTTGGAGGGGGTAGACGTCTCTCAGCATCCAAGCACTGTGTGCTCTCGCGTAAGAACACTCGGCCACGACTGAGGCTCTCGCTGAGCTTGCCCGACACCCCCGCCATGGCCGAATTCAATCTCGCAACAATGACGAACTCGTGCGCCAACTCGAGCAATCGGCGCTCGAAATCGCGACACTCACGGTGGAACGAGAGTCCGCCCGACAGCAATCAGGGAATGCACCAGCACCAGCACCGAGACCTGAAATTGCACCTGCGCAATAAGATGGGCCGATTATCATCTCGTCCGGCACACCATCATACCACGACAGCATGGGACAACGCTCAGGCGTAGCCAGTGATGGTGCCGCCCACGCGATGCCTGGCATGGAGAGAACCATGGCCCTACCGAACGCCAATGTACCTCGCGAAATCACCGTCATGTCGGATTTGCGACAGCTACTGGCAACGATGACATCGAAGAGCCATAGTCACTCAAACCACAATGGCCGCCCTACTTCAACCCTAGCCAACGCGGAGATCTGATGGTTCAATGGTGGGTCTTTATGATGAACGTCCATCTTGACGCCAACTACGTAACGTCAGAAACAACGAAGATTCGGTATGTTGTTTTGCTGTTGCGGGGCCCCGCCATGGACTGGTGGCGAGTCATCGTGACGTCGCCACGCGCCTACGAGCCACCGTCGCAAGAGGAAGAGCCCATGGGGCTAGCCGTCACCTGGAGTTCGTTTTGCGAAACCGCCCAATACAGCACGTGGGACGCGTGGTCCGCAGGGCTTCGGGCGCGCTTCGAGCCGATCGCGGCTTCTATTTCGGCACGCCAGAAAATGCGTACTTGGCGGCAGCTCGGGTCGGTCCAAGTTTATACGAGCGGTTTTCTCGTGCTGTGCGAGCAAGTCAGTTACATACACGAGGTGGAGCGGGTGGACCGTTACAGTACATTGGTGGACTGAAGCCGGACAACTTGCACAAAATTTTGCTACGCGGTATTTCCAATTTCAACGAAATTCTTGCGCTCGCCGAGAAAATCAATATTCTTCACCGCCCAAGACCGGGGTCCTACTACGGACATCGTCCTCGGGGGCCGGCCGAGCACGCCTCTATACATGCCGTTGCGGCGAACGCAGCTGCTGCGCCGTTCAAGGGGCACTGCTTTGCTTGCAATAGGCCAGGCCATCGTAAGAGCGAATGCCCAGAGGTGCTAAGGCGCTGAGGAGCAGAGCAGGTGAGGAAGTCTCAGAGACAGGGAAACGCCAGCAGTCAGTAGAGAACGGGCCTAGTACTAACGAGACCGACTACTCGCCCGACCTCACCGACCCTCTCCGAGTCACAGCACCGATTTGTGCTATCGATCGGGCTCGGATGAATAAGGAGGGTACAGCGACGGATTGCCCAATACTGATTCACGGAAAATTACAGGGAGTAGCATTGACAGAGGATCAAGTTACAACTTAGTTGATACCGCGACCGCACAAAAACTGCGAATAACACTTAGTCGATGTTTACCAGAGATCGACGCACGCTTAATTGACGGCACACCGCTGGCCACACAGGAAAAAGTGGAGTAAAAGTCCGGTGCGGGGGGGAACTTCGGGTTTACATAGGAAATGCTCGTGACAACATTGGATGGGCACGATATTTTACTTGGACGTGATTGGCTGCGACGCTACAACCCGCGAATTGACTGGACGACGGGCAATTGCATTGTGCGAAGCGGTGGTAACTGGGTGGAACTATCTCGCTGGCAGTCACCTGAGTCATCAACGGTCTCACGTCAATGCCATCACGATGAAACGGGCCGTCGCCGCTGGAGCTAACGTGTACGCAATGGACATCGCGGTGGTGGGAGAAGCAGAGTCACCAAAGGATATAAATAACCTCTGGTAGCCATACCGCCTGATCTACAGGAACTGCTGAAACGATACCCAGGGATCTTCCCCGATGACTTAGCGGAGGGACTGCCACCTCAGCGCGCACACGACCATCGCATAGAGTGTAGGGGGCTCAACCAACTGTACAGCGACAGTTCACACTGACACTGCCCAGACTTGATGAATGGAGGAAGCAGTTAGATTACCTGTTAGAGAAAAAATTCATCCCACCGAGCTCGTCACTTTTCGCTGCACCGATACTGTTCACACCGAAGAAAGACGAAGCATGTGTATTGAATACCGCGCACTGAACCGGGTAACCATCAAATCGCGATACCCTATTCCCCTCGCTAACGAAATGATAGACCAACTGCGTACAGCCCGCGCGTTAAAAAAAAAAAAGACTTACTGGGAGGTTATTTTCTGAAAAGAGTCGAACCATTGAACTGCGCCAAAACAACTTTTAAAACTAGGTACAGATTTTTCGAGTAGACAGTGATGCGGGCTGACCAACGCAAAGGCGACGTTTCAGATGACCATGAACAAGACATTTAGGCCGCTCTTAGATAAATGAGTTATAGATTACCTCGACGACATCCTGGTTTACAGCCGCGACAAGCAGCAGCACTTAGCCGGTTTAAAAACGGTGTTTAAAATTTTAGACAACAACCGCCTACTGACCAAGGGTTCAACGTGTGAGTTTTTTCAGGACCGGCTAGAATTCCGGGGGCACGTCATTTCGGAGGCTGGGTTGAGATTGACCCGAAGAAGTTAGACATGGTAAAAGCGTGGCATCCCCCGACCAACACCATAGATTGTCAGAGTTTTTAAAGGTTTGTTAACTATGTCCGTCGGTTCGTCCCCGACATGGCATGGTTAACAGCCCCGCTGACGGATTCGCTACAGAAGGGAGTGGCGTTTACGTGGGGGAGAAAGAGCACGGTACCTTCTCTCCCCGACAGTTCTAGTGGATAGGCTGAACCAAAGTTCTTCCCTACTGAGTATTACACGTGTGTCCGTACCCGATATGTGCACGTAATTAAACTAC